CAATGTCATTTTCTGAGAGGCATAAATATGTTGTTTTTTCAAGTTTTCTATTTAGTACTATTGTTATTGCTACCACATAGGCATTTTTGAATGTTATGTTAGCATACTGTTGTTAACAATAATAGAAAAAAGGGAAAATACCAAAAAGGGCTAACCATGTCGGCATACTACATTTTTCCTGATTTTCAAAGCATGGTCTGATAAAATGTTTTTCAAAACAACAACTAACTAAACAATACACATTTTCCCAAAAAAACAGATTTATGATGTGACACTGATATTTCACTGTTTCCTTCGCGAGGAAATAGCATTGATGTCAAGCACCTACAAAAAGACAGAGGGAGAGGGGAAAAAATAGGGTTGCAAACTTGTGACTACGGTTACAAAACATATTGCTGTCTAGGTTTTCATCTGGTCTAGGTTATGATATCCAGTCACACACTTTAAGTCTACGTGTAGAACCAATTTCAAACCAAACCCCATATGATCTATAATAATAGATCTAAAAGTAACAACATGCAACCCCAATTAGTGTGTCCTCTCATCGCCCAGACAGAGAGATGCAATTATTCTCCTGCAAATATCAGAAAAAATAATTATGAGTTAGGCTCCATGTGACGAGCATTAGTTTTTGACCTTTGGGTTGGTTTGGGAAAAAATGAGTCGAAAAAGTGATTTGGAGCATTTGGTGAAAATTACTTTTAAAAACATAACAATAGTGAAGGAGAACAGATGGTCCGGATCTAGTTCCCACAGGGTTTCAACAACTAGTCCCAACCGTCATTGCAGCTGTATAATGGCAACATCTCACTGACGACAAGCGTCATGTTCCCAAATGCATGGCTGTATAAAGGTTATTGTCACTGGTCATTGGTCATTGGATCCTGTGTTCCTACCTGATTTGAAAGCTTGACAATGCACAAATCATGAAATTTATCTAAACGCAGCCTTAAAAAATTAAAAAAAAAAAGAAGGTTCATTGAATCTATCCTCAAAACCACTCAAGAGAAAGACATTACCATTTTTCCAGCTTGGTCAATGAACAAATTCGTATAAGTAATGTATTCGAGAAAGAATTCCATCATTTTGGAGTTATATTTGCTTATCCGGAAAATTTGGTAATACACAACTAACCAAATGACAAATGATAGTTAAAAGACTTCGAAATCTAAAAAAAATAAAAGATCTTACTAATACTTGAAAAAAAAAGAGAAGAATAATAAAGAAAAATGTATTATATAAAATATATTTTTATTATATAATACATTATTAAGTTGGGTTTGGGCTTAGGTTGGGTTTTTTTTTTTGAGAAAGCTCGAGCTTATCCCAAAAAGAGGGTCAAGCTCGAGCCTATAGGCCTGAAATTCTATCCAAGTCCAAATTAGATTGGGTTGGGCCGGCCTGTCAGGCTACCTGACCCATGGACAAGTCTAATCGCAACCTTAAATCCTTCTAATCTATTTTCTAAAATTGGTTTATTTTTCAAATTTGCAAATTTAAACTTTCAACTATATCGAAAATTTTAGAAGCAGCTTCAAAGGAGGTGCCTTAAGTTTTTTGGCCGGTTGTTGTAGTGCAAGCTTGGGATCAAATCCCTCTACCACCAGGGTCAGGGGTTATGACCTTCATTGGCATCGGGGACCTGATCCTCTATTGTCTAACTCATGAAACTAGTGTTTCCAAAACCGGATTGGACTGGACGGTCGGACCAGAAAAACTAGAAAATGGTCACTTAGTTGGTTTTGTTTCATCCAAAAACTGCTTTTCGGCCAAAAATCGTTAATTTGGTCAACAAATCGTTGGCCTGGGTGGTCGAACTGTTGAACTGGACAACAGTTTTAGTCATTTTTTATTTATTTAAATTTATTTTTAATTTTTTGCTTTAAATGGCCTTCCCTTCAGTTAAAACAGTTGAACCGTTGGACTCAGGAACTGGACCCAAAATGGTTCTTTGTCCGATCTGGTTTTAAAAATCTTGCATGAAACTATAAAAAGGGGCAATACACAAAGCCCCCAAATCGTTCGTGTGCCTTCATCCCTCCATTCACATCAGCTATAATATGCCCCACCTTGCGGTTTTCACTTCTACATTATTTTTAGAGCCGTTTTCACAACTATTAATCTATTACATGGTTTTAGAAAATTACATGGAAATGGAACTGTTTTGGTCGCTGGTTTTCGAGTTGATGGTTCGACTATCCGGTTTGAATGGATAACCCATTTTAACACAAAAATAAAAATAATAAAAATAATTAAAAATAAAACAGCTAAAAACTGTTGAATTGGTTGATAGGTCGATAGTTTGACTGCTCGGATCAACGAATCGTTGATTGATTCAATGATTTTTGGCCAAGAACTGGGTTTGAGGTAGAATGGAACCGGTAATCTGAACGGTTCTTGGGATAAACGGTCCAATCATCCAAATCAACGGCAGTTAAAAAACCATAATCTATTATTGACCCAAATGGTTAAATTATTCAACCCATCACCCAGAGGCAATATTTGGCTTGTTTTCAAAGAGAGAGAGAGAGAATAGTCATACACCAGATTTTGGAGTAGAGTGATTGACAAAGTGAGAGCCTAAGAGGAAAAAATAGGGTTGTAGACTATTGGCTACAAAATATTATGCTGTCAGAGGTTCAAATTTGGTCTAGGTCTTGATAGACCAGATCCCAAACTGTAAGAAAATGTGCAAAGAACTAGTCTCAAATTAGAGCCTAGATCTCCTGCCCATGTTTATCGCAACCACACATGGAGAATATCTCATCCTCTGCATAGTATTATGCAAGGGGAGATGTTCCCAATTCACGGGGGGTGGTGTATTGTGGGTAGACTTGTTCATGGGCTGGGCCGGGCTTTTACTCCTTATTAACAGAAAAATGTTAGGCCCGAGCCCGAGCCCGGCCCGACCAACGGGCCTACAACTTGGGCCCGAGCCTGGCCCTGATAAAAAGCCCGAAGCCCGAGCCCGAGTCCGAAGCCCGACCTAATAAAAGAAATTCGAATTTTTTCCTATTCAAATGAAAATTATCTATTTTAATTCAGATGTTTTTTTCCCATATTTAAATTAACAATGGGCCTACAAATGAATCAACAACCTTCTTAAATCAAAAAATTTATTCAAATGGACATCACATAGGATTTTTACTTAGGTTTAACTATAGGTCGAGCTCGGGCCGGGCTATTTTGGCAAAGCCCGAGCCCGACTCAAATTTTATGCGGGCCGGGCTTTTTGGCCCGAGGTTAAGCCCGCGGGCTAAAAAGCCTGTTCAAGCCCATCCAGGGGCCAGGCCAGCCCGGGCCCCCTGACCCATGAATAGGTCTAATTGTGGGTAGGCATGGGCAGGAGATCCGGAGTCCTCAAATGAAACCCCATAGAGTCTATAATAATAGAATAGTCCTAAAGTAAAGCTAACCCAATTATCAATAAGTTCAGACATTCTTTGGGTGGATAGGCTCAGTTCTCTACCCAACTCAATTGTAAGTCCCACTAAACTCATAAATGAAAAAAAGTGGTCGATAAACATTTTTTTGGGATTTGTTGACAATTAAACGCCACTAAATCATCTTTTTCAAAATTGGATCGGACTGGATAGTCAGATCAGGAAAATCGAGCTAGTTTTTTTCAAAACCGAATTTTCCATAAAAATCGTTGATTTTAGTCAGCAAATAGCTGACCCAGGCAATTAATCGTTCGAACTATTTGAATCGTTTTGACTGGTTTTCATTTTTTATTTTCTCTTCTAATTTTTTTTTTATTTTTTTTATTAGAATGGGCCCAACTGTCGGACCATTAGACACGATAACCAAACCCCTGATCGGTTCAGTCTCCAGATTGATTTTAAAAACCATGCACTAAACTCCATATCAACGTAATAATAAATGAATGGTTAACTGTTGGGAAAATGTTAAAATAAATAATTTCCTAACGATTAACATACACATAAATTAAAACCAATTTTTATCAGTATGTATGCATACGAATCCATTTATCAAAACAAATACTGATTTAGCGATGTCATAACACCATTTATCAAATAAACTCAAGCCACACCCAAACCCCGCCACTGTCATCGAGAGACTGGATCAATGAATTCCCATAGGACGATATATGGTAGCTAAGAAGTAAGAACCATAGACGGCGTACTCCCGTAATCGCAGTAGAATGGACACGTGGAGACACGAGCCAGACGCCATCATACAATGCTAACGACAAATGAGCCATTATCACATAGTTATCAGCGGTTTCGTCAGTTTGACCTGTTAATTACTGTTTAGTCCAATTTAAATAATGCATCAATTGGACCGCCGGTCGCCGTTGGATCAAAGAATCGAATGGTCTACAACTGTCAAATTTCAATAATTGATTGTGCCTGTTCCGTATCATGCTCGGACTCATAATTAATAAAATAATAAATAATCGTTCTTGGTATACGCAAAATGCAAAAGGTTAAATAAGATTCCAATTTTCATGGTCACAAAAGGTAAAGGTAATGAAACCCCAGTCGGTTGGCACGTAACCGGGAAAGCCCCAGAGGCGATGCGGTTTCGAACTCCGCTAATAACAATAAAGAATTGCGGTTCTATGTCACGGTAATTAGATTAAAGCCCCTGTAAGGTAAAAAAGAAACGAATAATCAATATAAAAAAAAGGGTTCCGACTATGACATCGAAAAGATATGATATCTGAAAAACTTCTAATCAATCGACTGGAATTTATTATTTATTGGGTTTTAATTGGTCAAAACTCTGCTCATACCATATCTTTTCCGCATCGTAAATTTTTCAAAAAAAATAAAACCCCTGTGGAGAGAACTAGGTCCAGGATCAGATATTTCGTTGGGATTCCGGACCAACCACAAGCATATTCGCCAATTCCACAAGCTCGCCACGCGCTTCTATTGTTTACTTTATCCTAATCATCCACGTGGCACTCCATCCAATGGTTCAAATGAAAAGAGCCACCCTAACACCACCGCTATATATTCATCTCCTAACCACACCCCTTTCCTCATTCCCCCTTTTCGTCACTTGAGTCCTCACTCCTCGCTAACTTCCTTTTCATGATCTCTTCTTCCTCCTTTTTCGATTTCTGATTTCTTTTCTCATTTATCATATAACAAATCATGATAATTAGAGCTGCTGCTTCTGGTCTCTTTGTCCCGACCACACAAGGGGAGAGTCTTGTTCCCCTTTTCTCCTCGTCCGCTTCTTTGTCTTCTCCCTCCCGGAGAAACGCGGGCAATGGATTTATTGTCTGTGCATCAAAAGAGTCTCAATCACTCACGGGCGTTGTGTTTCAGCCATTTGAAGAAGTGAAGAAAGAACTTGCCCTCGTCCCCTCTGCTCTCCAAGAGTCGCTGGCTCGTCAGAAGTACACCGATGAGTGTGAAGCTGCCATCAACGAGCAGATCAAGTCGGTTTTGTTTCGCTCACTTTTATACCTCATGATTTTGTTTAAATCAAAGTCGTTTCTTTGTTTTAGTCTTTCTTCATATTATCTCTTCTTGGATCTTCAATCGCTTTATGTATTCCGAGTCCATTGGCCGTTTGTTCTTCTTTTTTGCTTTTTTATTTTTCGCTTTCTTTCATTTTGATGCACTAATCTCTTTTTTTCCCTAGGCTTTCCTTGTCTAAATCTTCCATGTGTTCTCTCATGATTCAAGCTCTATTTTTTCACGAGGCTCATCGTTTTGTTTATCTGTCTTATTGACTGTTATTGATCTATTTTAGTTTTTTTTGTCTGTTCATTTTTTTATGTAATGTTGCTTTTATTTTTTTTTAGCATTGTCGAATGAACTAATTTTACTGCATGTTTCTATTACGCTTCTTATCGAGGTGCCTGTGTTATAATGTTGTTGGTCCATGTCAATTTGGTCTTTCATTAAGAAGTTTGGTTCATTTTCAACGCCAATTTGTCAACTTCGATCTTTCATCATTAGGACCCAGATTACTTTTCTACTTCGATCTATTTGCTTTTCTCTCTAACTTGCGGCTTTCTCCACTGGTGACAGTGTGGAATACAATGTCTCTTACGCGTATCATGCTATGTTCGCCTACTTTGATAGGGATAATGTTGCTCTCAAAGGCCTGGCCAAGTAACCACTCGAGGACCCAAACGTTCTTTTACCTTTGGCTTTTTTTATTGTTTTTTGAATCAAGCTGATTGGTATTTTTACTGTCAGTTTTTTCAAAGAGTCGAGCAAAGAAGAAAGGGAGCATGCAGAGAAGCTGATGGAGTATCAGGTGTTGTTGGTTCAGTTGCCCTTGTGCCTCTTCGTTCATTTTCAAATTTTTTGCTTGTTCGGGCCCAACTTTACACTATCTCAGGCCGGGCCCATTAGAATTTTAACAAAAGCCAAGCCCGAGCCCGGCCCATGGCCCATGAACAGGTAGTCTATTTATATTTTGGAGTTGAATCTCTAAGACTCTAACTTTGTTTTCTGGTAATCACCAGAACAAGCGAGGAGGAAAAGTGAAACTACAGTCCATACTAATGCCATTATCTGAATTTGATCACCCTGAGAAGGGGGATGCACTGTATGGTAGGTTTTCTTTGTTTCAGTTTGTCCATACAACCAATATGTACTTTAGTTTTCATGCTCATAGAGCATTGATTGGATGAATCATCCGTTGTCCGTTGATGCAAGTGATTGGATCCTTTGTAAAAACAGATCAATCTAAAATCCCACTTCTTCAGGGATTTCAACTCATAACTTGGCTTTTATGTTCAACAGAATTTGAAAGAAATCCCTGTAACAAAAGCACCCGGCTTTTTTACTCATAGCCTAGCTTTACATTCTTTGACAAGAGATAAGAGAAGAAGTGATTGAATCAAGTATTTGCTCATGTAGAAGAAATATGGAAGTTTTCAGACTGTTAGAGGTTGATGTCAGTTCCACATCAGCACCACTTATTGCCATCTCATTTGTTTATAATTAGTTTTTGAACAAAATAGAAAAAAGGAAAAAAATTAAGGGAGGCCTGAAAACTATATGTTAAACAAATTATAAGTGGTGTGTGTGTGTGTGCGCGCTCACGTTCATAACTATATGTTAATGCTTTTATACATGTATAGTGATTTCTCCTTTTCCTGAGTCCATATGCATATGGAGCTTTCTGCTCTGCTTGTTGACCATGCCATGTAAGTTTAGTTGCATCCTCTAGTATCCAGGCTTATTGATTTTTGTTGGTCTGAAGTATTTGCAAGGATGGTTGAGTGCTTGTTAGAGCACAGTTGAATAGACTTTGTCTGTGGTCTTTGTACTATATAATTCAGTTTCTTTTGTATAGGGCCAAAGTGGTCGTTTGTTTTTATTTTGCAAATGTGCAGGAGGGTAATATAAACCAATTTCTACTTTGTATTTGCATTAAGCATCTGCTTTTTCTTGATTTAGCAATGGAGCTTACATTGGCTTTGGAGAAGTTAACAAATGAGAAGCTTCTGAAGTTACACAGTGTAAACATCTTGAGACCATCTTTATTTGATTTGATATGTAGATATGCAGTCTGGTTTCTCTTATATGCAGCATATAACCTTTGATTTTTATTTCTTTTTGTGCTCTTCAATGAGTACTTTTGCCCTGAAATGAAAGTAATAATTTACATGGTTCCTGCAATAGGTGGCAGATAAAAACAAAGATGTGCAATTGGCTGATTTCATTGAGAGCGAGTTTTTGACTGAGCAGGTGAATCATGGTTTAATGTCCTCATTATTTTCCTGGATTTGGATGTGTTTTGAGCAATTTTGTTTAGTTCTGCTTCATTGATCCCCTCTCGGTTTAGGTGGAAGCGATCAAGAAGATCTCGGAATATGTTGCACAACTGAGAAGAGTTGGCAAGGGACATGGTAGGAACTGAATTGTCTCTCATCTCTTGATCATATCTATCCTGCTTAATCCTCTTCTCTTCTTGCGTTTTGTTTTCTTAGTATGTGACAGGAACAATGTTTTTGTGGGTTTCAGGAACATGGCACTTTGATCAGATGCTCCTTCATGATGGGGCTGTTGCATAATGAAGAATGGCTTTCTTGGTTTAGAATTTTAGGACTACATATTGAGGTGTCTGTGGGTATTAGATCCTTGTTCTGTGGAGTGGATGGAAAACTAGTATTAATGTGCAGATGGATTTTAATTAGGTGAACACCACAATCGTTGATGAGAAAAACTGTCTTAGGAAACTAGTTTGTATGAAGCTTTGTTCCATTAGACCTTTGTCGTTTCCGTGAGCCAGAGTCATAATGGGAGTGGCCGAGTGGGTCATAGTGCCACAAAAAATGATATTAGGTTAGGTCCTTATCTGCCACAAAAAATGATATTAGGTTGAGTCTTCTCATCTATGTATTTAAGCGCCAAGATGTATTGAACGAAGAATTTAATGCTTTTTCTTGAAATATTGTTCTCAGAACTATTCTATTCAATTGCGTTTCCTTAAGGCTAAGGGTGTCAAATGGGCCTGTTTTGGGATGGTGGACCCGTCCAGATTGGATGGACCAACAAGACATTGAATTGGACCAGTCCAGACTTAATGGTCCAAATATTTATTGGATTGGATTGGACCTGGTCTTAATCAGCTGTTAAGTGACATTTGAAAAGTCAAAAATACCCTAAGAATGTCATCTAATTCTCTTTATCAACCATACAAACAGTCAGAATTTGGGACTGTTCAGTTTTTTGTCAACGCTTGGATGGTTGATAAAGAGATTTAGATGGCATTTGAAGGGCATTTTTGACTTTTCAAATGTCACTTAACGGCAGGGACAAATTGTCACTGGATCCAAAGTACAGGATACTGATTGGATAATGGATTGGGTCGGATCGAACAAATATCTAAGTACATTAAAGATAAGAATAGAGGTGTCAATAGAGCAAGTTTGGGTTGAAACCAATCTAAATCAAAACCAATTTGAACTGATTGGATGATCCAAACATTGAATTGGTCTGGTCCAAATTAGTCTAAAGATTGGATCTTGTCCATTTATAATAGATTCATATTGGACCAAATCTGGTCCAATTGACATCCTATTTACGACTGCGTTTAGTTTGGTAGAAGAGAGAAACGGAAAGTAGATGGAATTTTCCCTCCTATATTTATCAAACCAAACCTAGCTGTCTGTTAGAATTACTGATTATGTTTTTTCAAGGATCTGTTTGGTTCATAGTTGGAATTGGAATTGTAATCAGAATCAAAATCCCTTTCAAAAAAGAATAGTCTATTCTTATAGCCTGTTTGGTTCAGACAAGAATTGGAATCAGCGAAAATGAGTTTTCATTTCCAAGGAAGGGAGAGGGAGTGGCCATTCCCTCACCCTCAAATGAGGGAATGTCATTTCATCAATAATGGAAATGAGAATTGCAAATAACTTCTTCAAAGGCAAGTGCTTTGGGTTATACCGGGGAACAGAGAATAAATTGGGCTTGGTAGAAAAGTGAGATTCACGAGATCTTTGATGACTTTGTTGTCTTGCTCTTCGCAAATCCTCTATTAGTTTGGACGAGCAACCACAAGAAACTCAAAATAGTGGAATACTTAAAAGAAGTATTTTTGAACTTTGGCCATTATCTTTCTAGGAGCTCGGAAGGGCACTAAGCATTGTAAATAGTATGCACAAAAAGCAGGGAAGTTTCAAATGGGATGGACTATGTGGGATTTGGGAACAGGTTCTCTTTCTGCAATCCTTTTGTGTCAATTGTGTCTTTCCGTAGAGCTACAAACACTATGGCACATGAGTTAGCATCTAGGACTAGATTATCTGAGAATAGTCAATCGGAATTCCATGATGTGCCTCTGGACCGGATGAGAGAATTGTTTTGCACTCATCCTTCCCCAGAGGAGCTTTGTAATCTCTCCAACTAATGAAGGTCTTTTGGTTTGCCGAAAAAAAAAAAAAACTCAACACATTGTCTGAACAAACCTGACTTTTCCTTATCTTTCTTCTCCATTTTCTCTCCTGCTCTCATTCTCTCTTCTTTGGTTGGAAGAAGAGGAATTCATCAGTAGAAGATCACACCAATGAGGAATTCATCAGTAGAAGATCACACCAATGAGGAATTCATCGGTAGAAGATCACACCAAAGAATTAGAGGGTAACATAATATTTTAAAATTTTTTATGAATTCACATGTGAAATCAGCCCATAAGATATATTTAAATCTATTTTAAAAACTCAAAATATATTTAAATGGTTTTCTAAAACCCCAAATATGTTAGGCTGCATTTATTTGCGATACAAATGCCGAACCGAGGTATTTATGTACTCCTGTTCACGTTTGCAAGCATTTGTTTGTGATACATAGATACATTGATTATTAGCGTAAAAATGTTTTTTTTTGATAGGTTTGTATCGTTTGAAGAGTGCATTACTGCATTGATTTTTTGGATGTAATCTTGCTCTCTCGGATTGACGATGTAATTAGGGTATGTATTTGTGCTGTTCGATTGAAGAAAATATAGCCGTTCGGTTGACGAGTGAAAGGAGATTTGCTGCACCCCCCTCCCCTTCCAACGGTAACTTTTTCACCCCCATCTCCGACCATGGCATGGTTGTTGGTGGTCGGCGATCAGTAGATGTTAATCTCCTCTTGTGTTTAAACAGATTTTGTTTTGCTATTTTCATGTTTAGATCTCATCTAGGTTGTGGGGTTCCTGTCGATCTTCATCTAGGTTGAAGATCTTCATCTAGATCGTCGGTGGTCGGGGTTCCTGTCGATTTTCATGCCCGATCTTCATCTGGGTTGAAGTCTTCCCTTCAAGATCTAAACAAGGTAATAGTAGATCTGACTTGAGCTTCACAGATCTGATGTATAAACCCATCTTCGCCCATACATGCACAGATCTGGTTTGTTGCTTCGACTAATAAGGTTTTTTTTTTTCCTTTTTTGTTGCTTCTTTCTCAGATTTAGACAAGTTTACACATCTTCCGCTTTGTCTTCAACAATCGAGTATGTACATGGTGAAAGTTAGTCTTATTGTTTGTTACTCTTCTTCTTAGTTAATCGTTTGTTATTGTTATCCTTCTTGTTTGTTACTATTGTTTGATCAAGACCTCTTATTGTTAATCTTCTTGTTTGTAATCCTTTTCTTAGTTAAAAGGAATTTCAGTTTCTTTAAACAGTAGAGTAAATATATTGCTCTAGTCTTGAGTTTCCATTAACCAACTTTTCCCAAAAAAAAATAAAATAAAATAAACGGATCCATAATATTTCAAGAAACACTTTGCAAAAGAAAATGAAAAGGAGAATAATTTTGCAAAAGGTTCGATCTATATAAAAGAGAAATGAACCTGCTAAATTTTGCAAATGGCAGTGTTGTTAGAACCCAAAAAAGGATACAATAATACATACATTTCTCTTGCCAACTGAAGCAAATTTTAGCCCAAAATCATTTTCAGCCCTTCTATTTGGAAAATTTCATATTCAAATTTGTTGAGAAATGCCAACATAAGTTGGAGTTTAGGGCTTATAAGGGTTAGTGGATCAAATACACCATTAATTGAGAATCCCCTGTACGTAATTAAGAACTGCCTGTCAAAACACAGACAGGTGCAACCTGAACGGGCTGGGGTTGTGGGTCAACCCGAGTTACAACCCACCCTAGTCACAAGTAACTAATCAAATTCATGCGGTGTGGTTAGCTATATGGATTTAGTTTACCATAAAGATATATATATTTGTGTGGTGTCACAAGTAATTTAATCATCCAAATGCCTAATTCTAGTTTTTTAGCCAAGTTAGAATTTAATACACAATAATTGCCAAAAAAGTACAAAACAACACAAGGAGCAGCAATTTTAGAAAACTATATGCTCCATCCCAATTTTTACATTTCCTTCCAAAGCAAAAAAGAAAAAGAAATAAAAAAAAATACTTGAAACCCACCAAGATCTGATAGACTCAGAAAACATGTTTTTAGATATGCAAATCTGCAATCTTTTTTTTTTTATTTCTATTTCCTCCCTTGAGTAACAATACATAATATACTGTTGGAACTCTTAGAAATTATGCTGCAAGAACAAGTTCTGTTTAGGAGAAGCAGGCCCAATCTCTTCCTCCAAACACCTCAACCCATAACCAGCACCCCCATTACCCAAGTTTTTTGCTTCAAAATTCTTCCCATCAATGTCTGCATCTGAAACTGAAAACTTCCTCCTTTGGTATGAGGCAACACTTAGAAATGTGATCCAGGAAGGAGCCCTAAACTCAAACCTTTGATCCTGATCAGCTTCGATTGCATCTGCATCTGAGCCTGATCGGTTTGAAGACCTCTGTGATGACTTCTTATGCAGCCTACTACTACCCAAGACCACCTCCTCCACTTTTTTCTAACATTTTCATTTAGGCTGTGACAAGTACGTGTTAAAAAAATAAAATAAATAAAACCTATACATATGAGGAATACACATGTAATAGAACATCTGTCATTGATTAAAAGAAAATTTAAGAGAGAAGGTGTAGTAGATCATGACCCAGAAGAGAACACTACTTCTGAGCTCTTACCGACCCCATTAGGAATTGAATAAAGAATCTTGGTCTGCAATTCAGTCCTGATTAGTAGGGCCAGTATTGGTTTTACCTGTTCTGACTTTATTGAACCCAATGCAAATACATAGCAGATGACAAAGATACCTCCCACTATTCTATATGTTTCTTCTCATGGTTTGCCTATAGTAATTTTATCCAAGATGCCTATATTTGTCATTTTATATGACATACATGAGAAGAGAACATAAATTTAGCAGGTTTATTGTCAAGTTGTAGAGAAATTTTGCAGCATTTGGTAAATAGGAAGTGAAATGAAGTGATCTCTGATCTATATACAAGAAAAGGAATTAGGAGGAAGGTCATTTGTTTGGAAGTATGTGGTAGAGGCAGAAAGATGATTTCCTCTCTACTTTATAAGAGGGAGGCTAGCTACTAATACAAGTGAATGGACCAGAGGATTCAAAGAATCACACATTCCACTAAGGAACCCTACTAATAACATAAGTGGGAGCTTATCCCTAAAATGGTGATCAGTTTCCTTTCAGTATAGAAGGATCACAGAGTTCCTTTTCCTGCATTATCTTGTTACTTGGATACCTCAAGGAATGGCAAATAATCATTAAATGAAATCAATTCAAGTTAAACACCCATAATAAATGTCAAAATGAAACCTAGTTAGCTATCTATCTATCTATCTCTCTCTCTCTCTATATATATATATATATTAGTTGATACATTTCCATCTAGGTACTCCATATATGGATTCTTTTACATGTGGAATCCGAACAGAATGATGAACTTGGGTCATTGGGTCTAATCCAAGCCACTTTGATGTTATTTCCAAGTTCCATATAATTTCCAATTAATTTGTACTTTTTACATTATGTCCATATAACACAAAATTCATGTTTAAACTAGGATAAAATGAAGTACTACATTTGGCACCCAATTTATTTTTATATTGTCTTACAATGGCATGTTGTCTCATGGCACTATTGACTTGTCAGTCAAGCATGAGGGTAACACATGACACTGTGGCCAAGCGTAGATGGATCAGTGCAGCCATTAGTGCCACTATGACATATCTTGTAGTGGTTGTCATCATTAAACAGTATACTGAATCTATGAGTCGGGGGGTACGGGAGGTCAGAAGCCTAGGGAAGGGAGTATTTCTTAACACCGTATTTAGGTGGCATTTGATAATTTGAAAATTCAGATCTGAAAAGTTAAAAAAATATTAAAAGTGTCTGAAATCTGAAAAGAGGCATAGACGCTTTTCTACTATTTGTAAATGTTGAGTTCAATTTGCATTATCTCATAAAAAATAATTTTCAACCTCAAAATAATATTGAAACAATACAAATAACAAATAATAAATTAATAATTACTAATTAATAAATGAAATGATTAAAATTAAAAAATAAAAATTAATGACTATAAAAATATTAAAATAATTAATAATTTACACAAATAAAAATTAAAATAATTTTTAAAAATTAATTAAATAATTAAAAATTACTAGTTAATAAAAGTAATTAATAAATAACACAAGTAAATTTAACAAAAAATTATTAATGTTTAATAAAAAATATTAAAATAATTAATAATTAATAATTAATAAAAATAATTTATAATAAAATATTTTTACTCACCGAACCACCGCTACTGCATGTTGCAACGGCGGTGGTGGTGGTGAAAACACAAGGGAGGGGGGGGGAGAGAGAGAGAGAAGACAGGGGGAGAGAGAACTGCAATGGCGGCGATGGGAACGTAGAGGGGAGAGAGAGAGAGGCGTTCTTCCTCCCTAAGCGAAAGTGAGAGAGGCGTTCTTTCTCCCTGCGAAATGATTAGGTTTTTTGGATTTGGGGGTAATCAAGGGTAGCACGTGCCATTTCTAAAAAATTAGAAGGGTAGATTTGATCTTGCACCGGCTCTGAAACGCGTCTGAGCGTGTTAAGAGCCGACCCAAGGTCTATTATTTTCAGATTTGAATATAAGATTCAAACCATGTTTAAGAGGTAAAATCAAACAAGGGGTGAGGTCTGAAAAGTAGCATTTTCATATTTAGACATCTGAAAAGTGCAATTAAATGACTCCTTAGTAGTGAGGCATCCTGTTTATCTCAAATTAGGATGAGAAAGCCATGTTTTGATTCCCTCTATCATTTACTTATGACACATAGTGGACTTCGATCAACCATTAATATGTCTGTCGAAGAGCAAGTTGCAATGTTTTTGCACACTATAGGGCATAATGAAAGGAATAATGTCATACATGTTACCTTCGGGTGTTTACAAGAGACCGTAAGCCGGTAATTCCATAAAGTCCTACGTGTTATACTTAGATTGTACATTTTGTTGGTTATACAACCAACTAGAGAACAAGTACCCACGGAGATTAGGAATGACTCCCGGTTTATGCCATGTTTTAAGGTATGTAACGGATTTTTACATTTTTTTCCTTAAAACCTCCCTAAACCATGAAATTAACATAATTTAGTTAAATGTAGGACTGTATAGGTGCAATTGATGGGACCCATATCCCATGCAAAGTGTTTGTTAAGGAGCAAGGCAAGTTTCATGGTAGGATGGGAAAAACAACACAAAATGTAATGGTTGTAGTGACATTTGATTTAAAATTCACTTATGTATTGGTTGGGTGGGAGGGTTTGGCCACTGATGCCACGTCCTATATGATTCCCTGCAAAGAGAATGCAAACTCCAAGTTCCAAAAGGTAATTTAAATTGATACTCTATCCTTTCTAATACTCGAATAATGGACTCCATTGTCTTAACTAACTGCTTATTGCCAATGATCACTCAACGCAATATAGGAAAATACTGCTTAGTAGATGCCAGATACAGAAACATGTCAAGCTTCCTAGCACCTTACCAAGGCATTAGATACCACCTTAATAAGATATGAAGGCGGTTGCCGGAGTCCCCTAGGTCGATTTTCAACCACAAACATTCATTATTGAGAAATGCAGTGGAACGTGCTTTTGGTGTTGTAAAGAAGCGTTGGACAATCCTTGATGCAACACAACATTTTGACTTTGACACGCAGGTCAAGATTGTTATAGCTTGTTGTGTGTTTCACAACCATATCATGGGAGTTGATCCACATGACCAATACACCCAAGAAGGGATTCGTGAGGCGGACATGCAAAATACATTCGGTGGGGATGAATTTGTGGATGAAAGTGCCAATGCAGATTCTCTTGCACCGAGGTTGCAAATAAATAAACTCGCAAAGTGGTCCACATTTAGGGACCAAATTGGGTCAGACATGTTTTGGGACTGGAGGAGATTGCGAAGATGATTAGGAGTTGTAGTATTTGGATTAATTACTCATCATCATTTGGAACCAATTTGTATTAATTGTAGTTCTTAATGTTTAAAACCTCCAAGTTATTTGTTTTATTATATATTCATGACTTGGTATAGACATTTGATATATCAGCAATATTTTTTAAACACTTTATTTCTGTATTGTACATGTTACTTTTATGTTGTTGAATACTAGAGGTATTTTCAATATTTCTTTATGATAGTGTATGTACATGTCTATATGTTATTTATTTACTACATGAAATGGAATACTTTGGTAGGGATGGTCTCTATTAGAGATACAACAAGAACATCTATTAGTAATAGGAAAGATGGCAATAAGGGAAATGATGTATTGTTTGTCTCTCAAACTATGTCCAACAAGGGTGATCGAAGTCGACAAGTAAGATGGAATGATGCCATGGATAAGGCATTGATTGAGCTACTTGCTGATCAAGTAGCATTGGGCAACAAAATTGATAAGGAGTTTCAGACATCTGCATATACATTAGTATGCAAGGAGATGACTGCCCATTTCAATATTGATATGAGAACACCCCATATTAAGAGTAGAATGAGAACATTAAAACCCATATACATGGAAGCCAAGAAGCTACTCGGGACTAGTGGCTTTGGTTGGAATGAATCCAAGAATCAAATCATACCTGACCCATTGTTTGGGATGATTACATCAAGGTAAATGTGGCTTATTTGGTTTTTTAATTAATATTTAAAAATTAACAACTGGTCATGATGCCATCTATAATGTAGGCCAGTCAACTTACACTGTGTGTTAAAGGCAGAGTGATGGAGATGTTTGAGGAGATGCAAACAGTTCTGGGAAATGATCAGCCTACAAGTGACAAGGCTATGGTAAGGTTTGAATCCATGACTGAGTGTAATGTTGATGCTGATGGTGCTGAAGAGGTTTGAGTCAATGATGATGCAACAACCCCACTAACTATTGATGAATTTATTTGTGAAGATGGTACTCAATCAGTCTCCAACAACAACCGTAGGGCAGCTTCCTCAAATTCAAAATAAAAAGGGCGCATGGATCAAAACCGAAGCCCAACCAAGACTTTATTGATGCAATTAATAGAATGAATATTACAATATCAACAATTGCATTTGCACTTATAGTGGAGACTGAGATGAATTTCTTAAACTATTTATGGAGGGAAGTTATGGACTTGGAAGGGTATGACATCCAAGTCCGGAACACTGTCTTTGGGTACCTAGGTGAAATGAGATGGAAGCAAAGATTTTCCTTGCGAGGGACAAGCCATTTAGAGCTCAGATGGTCATATCCATCATATCTAAGATGACTGGTTTTGGTGGAATGCAGTAGTACCTCTTGGCTTGTTATGGAGTTTAGACAATGAAACTTAACACTTCTACTATTTTTTGTTATAACCAAATTAGGTTGATGCATTTGCTGGTAAATCCTATTAAGTAGTTGGTGGCAGCTATAGTAGCTATTACAACTCCTTAGAACTTACCTCTATAATGATACTTTTGACTTACTGATATAATGGAACTTCCTTGTTATAACTCTTTGTTTGTAGTATATCATCATTTTTCTATTGCTTGAAATATATGTATAATTAATTACATTGTTAATATCTTATACTCACATCAGTTTGTCCTAATGATGAAGTGTGTAGCATGAAAAAAATCCTATGTTGTGTTCAAGGGGAGAAAGCCCGGTGTGTATGACTCATGGCCCAAGTGTCAAAAGCAAGTTGCTGGGTTCAGGGGGAATTCTTATTGTTCATATAACAGTCGAGAAGAAGTTGAAGATGTATACTATAAGTATTGTAAGGTAGAGCTGGATACAACATATTCCTTTGAGAAGTTGGTTGCAAGGCCATACACATCAACAATTAGGCCATATCTGATAGGAGGCATCATTGGATTCTTTACTGGGATTATGGCATGGGGGTTGTTTAATTAGCCAAATCATTTGGAAGGTTATATATATATATATATATATATATAGGGAGAGAGAGAGAGAGAGAGAGAGGGAGGCATGAGTGGGGGAGAGAGGGGATGTATGAGTGAGGGAGAAAGAGAGAGGGGGATGGTTCAGATGCAACTCAACTAAACACTAGGTGTGTGTGTATTTGTTATCCTCTGTTATGGATATGGATTTGTTTTCATCTATTCCTTTTTATCCTCGGAGGAACCACATTTTGGATTTACAAAAGGTCAATTGTTTGTTCAGCCATTAAATATCTCATTCCACCAAACAGAAGAAACATGGATATGAGTCAAAAGATATCTTACTTCTGCCATAAAGACATATTTTACACAACTGAAAGTTTGAAATTCAAATTTATTTTCTGTGAGCTGGTAATTATATTGTATTTTTATAATTGTTTATCTAAAAAATCTATAGCATTTCTTGACAATGATTGGATTTATTTACACATCATGTTGGTGTGAAGGGATTGAATAGGAAGGGGAAGGTGATTTCTATAGTTCCTTATGCCAATATATGGTCTATATGATTGGAGAGGAACTGTCATTCTCATATTTTTGAACAGATGACCAGATATGAAGGAGTGATCATCCACAAAATATGGGTTTCCCCATATAATCTGCATCATCTTCATCTGAAATATGGGTTTCCCCATATACTCGTCTGAGTCATAGCTACCCCATCCTGTTATCATTAAAAAAAAAAAAACCAAAACAAAACCTGGCATGTGGTTAGTGTGCCAGCATTCAAACTGATGTTTACGATTGGAATTCAGAAGCATGAAAGCACATAGCATCACAACTAGCTTGAACCAAAATGGCTGAGGAGGATTTGAACCCACAACCACACATGGTGGCACGGCAGCAAAGCCTGAACCAAAATGAATTCTGGGGTGGAGCCCCAGCTTTTTCTACCCATCAATCCATCTTCTTACGCTATCATTGATTAGAACTCTGGGTTTATCTGTTTATAGAAATCCGACCGTAATAATTGGCTAGAACTGCATATGAATTACATATTAATTGGCATCTTACACGAAGAAGTTAGAATTGCATATGAATTCATAAGAATGGACAGATCAGATTTCATCGAACCTGGACTGGTGGTTATTTGACCGAAAGTTTAATAGGTAGTTAGAGCATTTATGTTTACGAAAAGAATACAAAAACCAGACTAAGATATGAACTGACTTTACATTCATAAACCGAGATATAAGGGTAAATATGCAGAATACATATTTATATTTACATCGAAAACAAACGGAGCCTAAAGTTTTTTATTCTTAATATAATTATAATTGGTTGAAATATTGATTTAATATTATATCCTAATTGCACTCAATATTTGTTAAATCAATTGACGAATTGCTATAGACAGAAGCTCTTTAAGTGGGGTCTAGTGGTGTGGTCATTGTTGCTGGTTCCACCTAGGAGGCTCGGACAAACACAATTAAAACAATAAAACCGTAGGCCTTTGTTGGGACTGCCTTTATTCAATCTTTTAACGGAAGAGTGTGCTAACTAGGTGATGGGTCCATAGTCCTTATAGACTCGTAATCATCTGGTGGTTGATTTAATGAATGCATCTTTTTAGAGGACAAAGAGAGAGAGAGAGAGAACGGTATTTGCATCAGTTTTAAAATTTTAATTTTAACGAACAATGACAGCTTTTTTGCTGTTGTGGTCGGCAGGTTATAAAGTTCCAAAACTCCCCCTCTTTTCCTCTTTTCTTTGGGGTACTTGCGTCGTCCTTCATGGAATTGGAATGGAATGAAGCAGCGAATTGAAACTCCTCACCTCACGTTATCTGTGTAGCATAGTTACTTCTCTTTCACGCAAAAAAATAAAAACCTGATTACATTTCCAAATGAGATTCAGATTCAGACAATGTCATTCTAATAGAAATGAAAATGAGATTCAGATTCCATCCAAGTAAACAGTTGAAATAAAATGAATTATTCTGATTTAAATACCAAACCCCTATTCCCACGAACGAATGCTCATCAGCCAACAAACGCATCAGAGAGATCTGGGCCTTATCACTAAAAGTTGCTACAGCCCTTTGAGCATATCTGCTGAATCAGGATAACAACACCACAACCTTTGAGCATATCCCCCACTAAAAGTTGCTACAAACTCATCACACTGCTTTGAAGATGTCAAATAGATCTTCTGAGTTCTGATCAATGGCATCTTGGACATCCTAGCTAGGGAACCATTAATTGTTGCATTACTACACTACTCCAGCATCTTAATTAGACTGGTCTCAAACCAAATTTAAGGGGCAGTTATTTGACTTTCCTATATCAACTCTTTACCTCAGCTTGGAAGGACTATAAATATAAATATGTACAGTATAAATACAAGTAAAATAACACTGAATATAAGGTTTTGCACTCTTACATATTTGCATTTGTAGGAATACAAATGTAAATACGTAGTGTAAATACATATAAAATATAAGGTTTTACATTCTACATATTTGTATTTGTACTCCTTCCAAACTGAGCCTTAAGAGGAAAACTTTGTGTTCTTGTTTATGTTTTTTATGGAGTTAAATATCCTTTGACTTTTTCATAAAAGTCAACAGGTGCCATTTTTTACAGTTTATATTTACTTTTTTTTTCGTTTTTTTTTGAAAAATAACCGCTAGGATGGATTTGAATCGAGTTAAATATCTGGTTATTCGAGCTTGATTTATCAAAAAGAAAAAAAAAATGAGGCTCCATCTTTAGCTTGATCTCGATTTGAGTTAGAGGCTTGAAATTGAATTTGGCTCAATTCAAAAACTCACATGCTTGAGCTTCTTTGAACTTGAATGAGGTCCAAGTTTTATGTAAAAAAAAAATATAAAAAAATTATACATGAAAAAAATAAAAAGTATACATAGAAAAACTATTCCTTATTTCGTATATAAAAAAATATTTATTATTATATAAAATATAAATTTAATTAGGCCTGCAAGTTTCGCAAACCGAACTTCATTGAACTCAAACTTAGCTTAAAACTCAGTTTAAACAAAGTCGAAACTAAAGTTTCACAAGTTGAGCTCAAAAAACTTGTAAAAATCTTGATTCATGTATGTAACTAATAACCAATAGATTGATTGAGTTCATTAACAAACCATTAAGAAATTTAACCTTAGCTCCATTTAAAGAACTATTTTTTTTTATGTGCAACCAAACACTTAAAGTTATTTTTAAAGTAATTTGGAAAGAATTTTTTTTAATGATCAGGCTATTTATTTCCCTGCTTCTCGATGTACGCAATAAGCAAACCAATGGACTATCCGGAGACTATGTTTGGTTTAATAGAAAATAACAAGGAAATAATAGAAAGTTAAAAGAAATTCTTAACAAAATATACAAAACTTCTGAACAATTTTCCCCAACTTTATGTTTCTTTCCATTAAACCAAACACAATTAAAAATTCGAAACTCAGGAGGGGGGTTTCGTCTTTTAATACTACCCTCTAAAGTATGTGTCTAAATCATTCTTCACACAAAAAGTTTTCGAAAAAGGTTAAAATACTACCCTCTAAAGAAAGCGTGGTTCTCCTCAGTCCTCAAAAGCTAAAGTCGAAGGGTCATTTTCTGATTCGGGCCTAGAGTAGAGTTAAAAGCTACCAAGGGACCTTAAAAAAAGGAAATAAATAAATAAAAGCTACTAAGGGTATTTCTGTCATATCGGCAAAATTATGAAACAGACCGATCTAGCGGCTAGAGAGTAGAGAGATCCTTGCTATTTAGAAGGGGGCTTCTTCGCTTCGATCGTGTCATCCAAATTCTAAACTAACGAGTATCTCCCCCTCTCCAAGTGCAGAAATGGCGGGGCCAACGGCCCTAGTCTGTTGAAATTAAATACCACCGGAGCCCTAATTTTCGAATCTCACTCAGTTCATCTAACGCATCTCCAGGAGTTTTCCGCCATGGCTTTTCGTCGATTGGCTTCTCTGTTTCTTCTGTCATATCTCTTCCTCTTTGGCTCTCTATTTTCTTATTGTTCAGCTGCCAGGGTTTCATCTTCTGCTTCTGGTAAAGTATCGCTGGCTCTGTACTACGAAACCCTGTGTCCCTACTGCTCGAGTTTCATAGTTAAACATCTGGCCAATGTTTTCGAGAAAGGACTTATCAAGATCGTCGACCTCAAGCTCGTCCCTTACGGAAATGCTAAAGTCGGATCCAATAACACCATCACCTGCCAGGTTTCCTTCTCCTTCTCTTCTTCATTTTAATTAAAACTATTAAAACGCCCTGAGAAATGTGATTGATGTTTGAAGGGGTCAAGAGGTATTTCAGTTAATCTTAAAGGTGATTTTGGTCATTTAAATTCGATAATAGCGACACGAGGCCTTTTTTTTATTCGTTTGGGCGTGCGAATGTGATCTGGATGAAATCCGCGGGAATAAGGCCCGTAGGAAGAAGCTTAATAATAATTAAACTGGCAAAGCAATTAAAGCATAATTTTTTTTTTATCAAAATTATTAGAATTTGGTTTTTTCAGTATCGATTATGCGATATTAAATCAGTGGAGTGACCATAGCCCTCTCCATCGGAAAGGATGGATTCTGGTTACTGTTTACAAGTATAGCTGGAGAGGATTCAACTTTCAAATTCAAGCTTGCGCGGTTGCGCCGAAAGGTCCAAAGCTATGTCGCTTGAGGACTTGAAGCCTTGAATTACACATGTGTTAGACATTTTCTCTCTAACTTGCATTTTCGCCTTTCGGGAACAAAATGGTTATTCATTCTTCTTGACGAATAAAAATAAATAAATAAACAAAAACCTGATGGACTTCGTTGTCTTTAATCATTAATTTTATTTACTTTTCACAGCATGGCTCATACGAATGCTTACTGAACACCGTCGAAGCCTGTGCGATCAATGTCTGGCCGGATCTGGTAAGACCACCCACAACCCCCGCCGAATTTCTTTTAATAAATTATTAATTTGTTGTTACATGGCCATGCATTACACTTCTTCTCATTGCATCTCTTCCTACCGAAAAAAAAAAGACGTGCTTCTCTGGATATGAGTAGTTAATTTTACATAGTACATGCAGAGGAGGGGCCAGGGGGTGCCACCTCTCCCAATTTTTGAAAAAAAAAACCCTTTATATGTGGATCTATACAGACTACTCTCATACTACGTGAGGAATATTTCAAGAAATCCTGAATCCAGAAATCATGCTCCATCTTCCCTGCACGAGTTCAGATAGATAGCCTAAATGTGCAATGTTCCTGAAGAATGTGGTTTCAGTTCTCTGATTCTAATGTGGGTGCACGCTACCATAGCGTCCAAACATTCTGTAATACATGCGGCACGTGTTTAGCCAAATTTCATGGCATTCGGGCAATCCTAGGCTTCTAATATTTAATGTCATTCTTACCTCCATGACTTACGGGATAGTGTGGTACTTCAACGAAAAGGTTCTTCAGCAATCAGCAGTGTGGTTAGAATCAGTTTTCCAATGCTTAGTTCCAAAGTCATGTCAATTTCTTTAGTTCACAAGGCATGCCTAGTTCAACAGATGACTGAACATTTAATTGCCAACATCCACATGTACAGCATCCATATCATCAATGACTATATATCTCAGTAATATGGGGCTGGAGACTTTTCATCGGACGTTTAGGTTTTTTTTAGTAATGTAACTACCCGGCTGTAATCTCTATATAGAATTACCTAGTATTTAGATAGCTGGATGTACAACCATTTGTGTCCTGTCTACATGTAGCATATAGAGTGGTTTCTTGATTCTGTATGAATGAAACCCTTGCTTAATCCATTTACGAATTACTTTTAGAAAACATGGCAACCTATATCTTCACATAAGAATGGACTATTCCTCAATCAATGTCTGTTATTTTTTTAAGTTTTTTGATGAGTAACTTGAGAACTTTTATTAATAAAGTGAAGGGTAAAAGTAGATGATAGGACCAAAAAAAGAGAAAGGCCTACCACAATACCCCCTAAGGTAGAGCTACAACTTGGGCAGGCCCAAGATGAACTTTTGCACTGGTTGGACTTGGATTTTCACGCTCTGAACTGGGCCAGAGCCTAAAAAATCAGGCTTTGTCTCAATTTGACTTGGGCTTGATTAGGATCCCATGGAATCAAAACCTAGCCAAACGGAAGCCCTGCTTACTATAGTATATCTACCCCATAATACATGTACATTGTGTATTTATGCTACATTTATTTGTGTATACCATACACTAATATGTATACTCTAGAGGTTACAACACATATATGGTCAATCCGGGCCCACACTCAAATAAAAAGATGTACAAACAATAAACATATATTATGCATGCTATGCCATTTATCTTTTATTTTTGGTAAAACCATATTTATATACATATGTATGTAAATACTTATTATCTACTGACATTTGCATGTAATTTTCTTTTATTCTATATTTAATTTGGGCTATAAAACCCAAATGAAAGCTAAGTGCAAAACAGAATCAAGAAGATCTTCAAACCCAACCAACCTGCCCAGGGCCAGCCTGATTTGTATCAGAATTTGCTTGGGCTAGCCAACTCAGATGTTGAGCCTGGTCTGGGCCTAAACCCAGTCCAATAGGCCTAAGATGCATCTCTGAGTTATGAACATAACATAAAAAACATCCACAAGATATCAAAACTATCCTGGGATGCACTACCCTGATACATCAAAGTCCTTCCTACTTCTCTCCTTGCCATACTGTCAGCTTTAGAGTAGGTTGACCTTGGTCTCTGCCTGTCTGGTGAAACAAGATGCTCACATTAGAAGCCAGTGATCTGGATTCTTTGATGTTGTGTCACAGTAGCCATGATATGAATTATTTCTGTTTTACTTTTTGTATGGCACACAATGTTAAAACGCTACTATGGTTATGGGCCTAATCATATTTATTTATTATTTTTATTATTTGCACAAAGTAGCTGTAGCTGCCCTCAGACTCAAGCCCATGTTCTCGCATTTGCCATGCCTGGGTTTTCCCATTACACCAAGCAATGACTCCCTAAAACATTACTTTGTGTTCGATGGATAAAAGAATTTAGAGGTAACGTAGGCCTTTCTAACTGTTGTAATGCTTTGTATAATCTCCTGATGATTCTCAGAGACATGCCACAAACTTTTACAATGAACCTGCTATTCGACAATGACCTAAGAGTCCTAGTACTGATAACAACCAGATTTGTTAGACATGGTACAAGAAGCTCTTTGCATGCTTTTGTTTGCTAAAATAATGCTTTTGCCTAAATTATAACAATTTTCACCTATACTGGAACACCAAGGCAGTTGGCAGAATGTAAACCAAGAAAAATGCATCTAGTTAAATAGTTGTTTGTTTAACAGTTTTGAGAAAACATCTTAATCGATATGGTGCACTCTAAAGTCTAAACAGAAACAAGCACAATAATGTTTGGTGACTTGTATGAGTCGTCTTTCCCTAACTCTGAAATGGTGGAAGTGCAATTTTTCTTTGTGCTGACTTCACAGATTTCAGCAGCAAGAGTTACTTACATGCAACATCCGAGGTAAATTAACAATATGCTATTATCCATCAAATTAATTAAACTAAAGCTTTCTGTGATATCTTGGTCATAGATTGAGTTTCCTTGCATGAGTATTATCCAATTGCTATTTACAGATCTGTTTTTATGTTTGTGTTTGCTGAAGAAAGCATTCTCAACTGTTCAAATTGGATTAAATCTATTTGAAGGAATATGTGCGTTTTCGCTTTTGAGACAGCTGTTCTTTGGTTTCTGATCATATTGCTAAATTGTTTCTTCTCAGAACTTAAAAGTTACCTATAATGCCAATAGTTTTTTCACTCTTTCTTCCTGATTTCACCTTAAACATATCTCTATGATATTCTGATGCAGAATAAGCATTTCACATTCATTTATTGCATTGAGCATCTAGTCACACAGGGGAAGTACAATGAATGGGAATCCTGTTTTGGAAAAATGGGGCTGGATCCAAAACCTATTGCAGATTGCTATAATGATGGATATGGAAAAGAGGTTAGCTTTCTTCTTTAATCCTCTGTCTGCAGTACCTGTGCATGTATACCTTGAAGGATTGCATGTTGGTGCATATGGTCCAATTGTTTAGCATGTAGAGGGGAAACTTCCCTGTATTAATTTTATGAGGTATTAAAAGATTCAACAGCAAAAATCTTGGTGCAATTGATTGCTTGTGTTAAAATCCTGCAATAAGTATTTTAACTGTTTTGCATGTCTAATAGTTGTTAGTTATCGGTATCACAGTTTCTGTAAGGTTGAATTGAAAACCTCAAACCCCTCCTAGTCAAGCAGGATGAGCACATATGGTCATATATTCATGTTGAGTGAGGTACATATTTCCTCTAACAGGTTGAACTGCCTGTGTCCACTGTAACTACCAAAGAGAAATAATCTGAAAGGAAGCAAAAGCTAAGAAGAATATTTGTCTGTGATCAATTATTCCTGATTTATGGTTTTACTGATATTGAACCTATGTGAGGATAATTGAAACGCAATAAAGATTGAGTTATACTAAAATGGAAGTGAGATAAAAGAAATGTTTACAAATTCCCAAGAGACATCTTTTTCTAAAATTGAAAACAAGCACTGGGGAAGCATAAATGAAGAGTTCTGCATTGCCTATTTTCTACCAATTTTCCATAGATCTACACTATGGGAAATAATACAGTGGTTTGGAAGCAGATCTATGAATTGCTAATATAGCATTAGTCTATGACCTGTTTATTTGCACTATTCATGTTGGTTGGGCCATGACACTGGAACTGGGCAAAGTTTCTTTGAGATATGGAAGGTGATGGCTAGTAAACAATCTATTTATATGGAAAATAATACAGTGGTTTTTGGAACTCCAAATGCCTGGAAAAACTAACCTACTCAACACTAGATGTGGTGGAATCTATAGCAAGTGCATAACTTGATGAATTGTTTTTCACTTTCAACCATACAAAAGTTTTTGTAGGTAAGCATATAAATTTGTTGGGGTTGAGTGAGATAAAATCCGATGGCTTTTGTTGTATTACATCAGAAAGTATGCTACCTAGACATGGCTGGACAATGCATGAATATGTAATGTCAAAGTGAAGTGCTGGAACCCATTTTGAACTGTAAGTGTAAAATAAGTTGGAAAATCTGCTTAAGAATTAATCATTATGCATGCTTGTGTGTGTCAGACAGGTACAACTCCGCACCCCCTGAATATTTCCTTTGTCTCTTCAGAGACATCTGATAAAATTGGAATGAATATTTTCCTTTAGGCTGCTGGCTGTTGCAAGGCCATGGCTGTGCATTGTCAACTTATACTTGGATATCTTGTTCAAAAGCATCAGTTTGGAGTTTTAGCTTATTTATCTATTTATGTTTGTACTATGTAAATTCTTTCCTCTTATATGTTCCACCACGGCATGACATCAAGTTTATAATTGAATTGCAGCTTGAATTACGATATGCCGCAGAAACTGATGCTCTTCAGCCTCCTCATAAATATGTGCCTTGGGTGGTTGTGGATGGACAACCACTTTATGAGGTAAGTTCCCGGTAACCATGTAAATATGGTAGTGGTAGGTGCTGCATTTTACTTTTTAACTCTATACTCTTACCTGCTGATTTTTTTTTTTTTTTTTCATTTTTCTCCTCTGTTCTCAAGGCCATAAACAATTAAATTCCATTTAAAGAAGGAAAGTTGAGATGCAATTCAGACCGTGGAGAAAGTATCATGTAAATGACATTGTTTGTTTGGTTGTAGGATTATGAGAACTATATAACCTATGTATGCAAGGCATATAAAGGTTCTGCTGTTCCCAAGGCTTGCTTGGCACGGTCTCATGAGATCATTGTAATGGGGAAAGAAGACCCGGCCCCTCGAGTTTGCGAGGCAGAAGATACAACAAAAAGAGCTTGGGCAGAAGTAGGCCCAGGGAGGCGCCAGATGGAAAGTACAGCATAAAAAGTTATGGGGTTCCGCATCATCATTTAGTTGATCCGTCGTACTCATAGTAAGAAGCTGCATGTATACAAATTACAAACTGGAGTATGTGGTGTTGAAGAATGGTGTGGTGGTATAGATTGTAGTGGCATTAGTAATATATTGCTTGGTCATGGTGTGTGAACAGAGTCAAAATGATCTTGCATTGACACGGTTAAAATAATGGCTTATTAAATTTATAGTTATGAAAAAATTACAATTGTCTGTTCCTTGAAAATTTGTTAGCTCTCGGATGCCTTATACTTCTCAAATTGCTCGACTTTTATGATGAAAATGCCGAGATGTTCTCGCTTATTGATCTGTTTTTTCTACGCTTTCATTATTGTTTGAAGCAACGAGGGGGTTGATGCTAGCATCATCACTTTCACTGTTGGTGGGCTCAGTGTCTTCAACGCCATGGCCGTGCTTACAGTGAGAACCCCCTGTTATTTGCATCGTTCCTAGGCCCAATTCCAATGATTATTGGACAGTTTACAAAGGGTTTAAATTTGCATATGGAAAAACTTCTGTTCCTCGAGTCCGCCTATTGCTTAGGCTCAGTTTGGAAAGAGTACAAATACAAATATGTACAGTGTAAATACATAGAAAATAATACAAAATACAAGATTTTGCACTCTACATATTTGTATTTGTACTCCTTCCAAACTGAGCTTTAGGGATTGCTTTTTTACTTCTCCCACCCTGCAACATTCTTCACTTTTAATGGGCCATAACATTCTGGAGTAACAGGTTTAAATTTTGCATGAAACCAATATTCCTTGTGAAGAAGACAATGCTTCAAGGCTTTGTTTGTTTAATCTTCAAGCCTTCATAATTCTGTTGCACTTATCTTTAATTCATAGCTTAGCTCAGTCGGTAGGTTGAACCATGCCAATTAGAGAGTTGTAATTTTAGTTGTTTCTTTCAGTTTATGTTTCCTACAAATTTAGTTGTTTAATCGATGTACGAAGTTGGACCTAGAAAACAGTTTAACCACTGCTTCTATTTGGGTATTTCTTTTTATTGCTTTGTTCTAAGCTTCATAGTCCAAATAAAACAAAATCTGAACTTTTCAGAGGCTTTGTTAATAGACTAGCCTGCAACATGAAAAATAATCATGCCCCATATTGTTCATTTCATTCTTTGAGGAAACTCTACGTATAGAACTGTTACCATAGATGTTTAGTTGTTTACTTTTGCGAAAGCACTTTTACATGAAAGCACTTTTACAAAAGCACTTTTATGAAAACACTTTTACGAAAGCACTTTTATGGAAGAACTTTTATGAAAGCACTTTTACAAAAGTTCTTTTATAAAAGCACTTTCATGGAAGTACTTTTAGGAAAACACTTTTGTGGAAGTACTTTTACGAAAGTACTTTTATAAAAGAACTTTTATGGAAGTACTTTTGTGAAAGCACTTTTACGGAAGTACTTTTATGAAAACACTTATAAAAGTACATTACTAAAACACTTTTACAAAAGTACTTTTATAAAAGCACTTCTATGGAAGTACTTTTATGAAAGCACTTTTACAAAAGTACTTTTATAAAAGCACTTTTAAGAAAGTACTTTTATGGAAGTACTTTTACGAAAGTACTTTTATAAAAAACACTTTTATGGAAGTACTTTTGCAAAAACACTTCTACAAAAGTACTTTTACGAAAGCATTTTTACGAAATTTCTTTTATGAAAGTACTTTTACGACAGTACTTTTATGGTAGTATTTTTACGAAAGCACTTTTATGGAAGCACTTTTAGAAAAATACTTTTATGAAAGCACTTTTACGAAAGTACAAAAGCATTTTTAGGAAAGAACTTTTATAAAAACACTTTTACAAAAGTACTTTTATAAAAGTATTTTTGCGAAAGTACTTTTACAAAAGCACTTTACGAAAGTACTTTTACAAAACATCTATGCCAATTGGTAAACATCAACTATTGGAGACCTAAGCTGGTGGTTTGTGAATATCGACACAGTTTTTTTTTGAATAATTAAAATGAGCAACATAGGACACTTGACAGTCTAAAAAGAATTCACTTTTAGGAAAAAAGTGTTTGGTTCATAGCAATATTTTCTCATTCTGCCTATTTTACCCATTCTTTTCCATTTTAGAATTTCATCTTGGGTAAGAATGAGAATTGAACCAAACATGGCCTTATTTGATGAGTGCTCCGCAGGTTAGCCTCAATTTGGAAGGAGCACAAATACAAATATCTAGAGTGAAGAAACTTGTATTTTGTATTATTTTGCATGTATTTGTACTATACATATTTGTATTTGTACTCTTTCCAAACTGAGCCTTACGAACAACGAGATTGCGACTCAAAAAATCTCCTACACAATCATCTAAGAACAAATACCTCGACCTCAAAGCTATGACTCTTTCTTCCCGTCATGATTCCTAATTATGGAAGATGAATTATTTTTATTAAGATTTCTAATTTTAAATTTAGATGATTGCATCATTTATCTTTTTTGTAATTCATTCAACTTCTTGTAAATTAATCAAAAACCTTAGAAAATGCTTTTTGCTATGTAGTTATTACATTAAGAGATTGGTGTGGATCTATAAATATTCATAAGTTTGTGAGCAACCCTTGCAGTTGCAAACCACATGTTAAAAAGTAAAGTCCTCTTTCTTTTCTCACATTTGCATGGGTTAAAATTAGGGCTGCAAGTCGGACTGGGTTAGGTCGAGTTGAGGCCAACCTTAGCCCAACTCTAAGTTCTAAACCCCAACCCTAACCCTAACTAAATACCTCCAACCCAACCCAACCTTCTTAATCTTGAAGAACTTCTTAATCTAATATCTTAACTCAACTTTCACTACATATATTAATCCTATGTTTTATTAGTATTTGTTTGTTGATATTTTTATTGGTTATCTAAATACAAAACTTAGAAAAAAAAGAAGTGTTTGAAATGACTATAGTTTATTATGAGTTATGACTTATAATAGATCTTTTATAAGCAACAAGCATGGGTGGCAAGCAACAAGGAGGAAATAAGGAATAAAATATTCAAAAACATAAAATATGTTATTAAAGTTTTAGTGTTTCCAATTAGGATTAAGTGAAGCGATTATCTTAAAAGAAATAAATGATAGTATGTGGTGGGGGCTATACAACTATCATGCATCTAAACAAATCAATGTATGATATAATTATATATATTATATAACATATATTTATATATGATATGTACTATAGATTCAGGTTCGAGTTGGGTCGGGTTGCTCGAGGTGTTAACCCTAACCCAATCCGAAGTAAAGTCGGGTTCATAAATTTCAACCCTAACCCTAACCCGAGCATCAACCCAACCCAGCCCAAGTTGCAACCTTATTAAAAATAGACAATTAAGTTATCTAATTGATAAGTAATAGATAATTAACATGTGAAAACCCTATCAACTTTCACTTGACAAATTATTTTATCTCTCACTGATCATTATAAAATAAATTTTCAGTTTTTTCTTTAATATATATCATCCTTGTTTTTTATGTTTAAAAAATGCCCGTGGGCTGATCTTATATATATATATTAATACGAAAGGGGAGATCACTCCTTTCACCAAATGGAAGTAATTTAATTATTGATTATAATTAATTATCAATTATAATTACTAACTTCAAGAGATTGATGATTTGGATCAAAGAGAGCAAACAAGGAATTTGAATGCAAAAGGTAGAAGTTGAAGAGAAGTTATTAGAAGGGAGTGGGAGAAAATTATAATAAGGGAGGAAATCTATTGGAGACAAAGGTCTTGAGTGAGATAGCTGAAGGAGGGAGATAATAACTCAAAGTTCTTCCATAACTATGCTTTAGGGAGAAGAAAAAAGAATTACATCTCAAAACTGAGGATGGGGCATAGAAAGGTAGAAGACAAGGAAGAAATTTCAATAGTCATCGTGTAGTTTTTCAAAGGGCTCTACTCAAAGGATGGTAGTAACAGAATTCCTCTGAACAGATAGGAAGGCCCAAGATTGTCTGAAGACAAAATGTGTGGCTAGAAAGACTTTTTGAAGAACAAGAGATTAAAGAAGCAATTTTTAAGATGGACGGTGATAGGACTCCTAGACCGGATGGGTTCCCTATTCTTTTCTACCAACTTTGTTGGGACACAATCAAATTTGATCTAGTGGAGGTATTTGCAGACTTCTACCTTTCAGCCATTATGAATAAGGGTAACAACTCAACACTCATCACCCTAGTGCCAAATAAAGAGAGATCCTCAGAAGTTAAGGATTTCAGACTTATTAGTTTGGTGGGAAGTTTATACAAAATAGTAGCGAAAGTTTTGACGACTAGACTAAAGGAAGTGTTGAATGATCTAATTTCAAACAATCAATTTGTTTTTGTGTAAAGAAGACAAATTACTAACAACATTCTAGTGGCCAATGAATGTGTAGAAGAGAGAAGACAGTGGCAAGCCAGGGGTAGCAATCAAGTTGGACCTTGAAAAGGCCTATGGCAAAGTGGATTTGGATTGCTTGTTAGAGATCCTAAGCTTGAGAGGTTTCGGGAGAAGGTGGATGAGATGGATAAAAGGGTGTATTAGCTCTGCTTGGTTTTCAGTCCTAATTAATGGGGAACCTACTGGTTACTTTAATGCAAACAAGGGCTTGAGACAAGGGTGCCCTCTACTCTTCACTTTAATGGCGGGTGTACTGAGTTACTTGATAAAGGAAGCGAGGGAGTTAAATTTGCTAAAAGGTTTTGAGATAGATAGGGAGGCAGTTCCAATTTCTCACTTGATGTTTGCAGATGATATTATTCTTTTTTTGGAGGCAGATTGGGAGAACATTTCCATCTTAAAGAGTGTGCTAAAGAGTTTTGAGATGGTGACTGGAATCAGAATTAATTATTCTAAAAGCAACATTGTGGGGCTGAATGTTGGTGAACCTCTATTGGAGGTATAGAGAGCTGTTGGGGTGTAAGTTGGAGAGGCTCCTTATCATCTATTTGGGAATGCCTCTTGGGGGGAACCCGAGAAGTCAAAGTTTTTGGGACCCGGTAGTGGAAAAATGTGAGAAAAGATTGGCCACATGGAAGAAAAGCTTTCTTTCAAAAGGTGGAAGACTCACACTAATTAAGGCTTCCCTCGCTAACCTACCAACCTACTTTTTGTCGGTTTTCCGAATCCCAAGCAAAGTAAAAAGCAAGATTGAAAAACTACAATGGGATTTCCTTCGGGAAGGGGGTGGTAAAAACAAGTGTCATCTAGTAAGCTGGAAGTAGGTTTGTAAGCCAAAGGAAGTTGGTGGTTTGGGACTAGGACATATTAAAGAAAGGAACTTGGCCCTTCTTGAAAAAAATGACTTTGGAGATATCCCTTGGAGATGGAAGCTTTGTGGACAAAAATCATCAAGAGCAAGTACGGGAAACATGCCAACGGTTGGGATAGCAAGGTCCACTTGAACCAAGTCAAAGCATCAAACCCTTGGAAAGGTATTACTTCTATCTATGATATTTTTCTTGTTTTTGTTAGATACCAGGTAGGGAATGGTAATAGAATCAAATTCTAGTCTGATTTGTGGTGAGGGGAGGACACCCTCGCTAACTCCTATCCTAGAATCTTTAACCTGTCCCTTTCCAAAGAAGCCACGGTTGCCTCTAGCCTCAACCCCTCACCCTTTGGAACAACCTGGAACCTAAACCTGAGAAGGCCTCTAAGGGAAATAGAAATTATTGATATAGCTAATTTGCTAAACTCCCTTGATGAGGTCTACATCTCTCCCACTACCCCTGACGAAAGAATTTGGAAACCTAACCTTGCTGGTAAGTTCTCCTCTAACTCCTCCTTCAAGGCTCTAGTGTTAGAAGACCTAAGACCTCCTTTTCCGACTAAGAAAGTATGGAGACCACACATCCCCCGTAGAGTCTCTTTCTTTGTGTGGGAGGCCTGTTTAAAGAGAATAAGCACATGCGAGTTGCTGCAGAAAAAGTTTAAAGGAAGATTATGCATCTCTCCTCATGTTTGTCCTCTTTGTCTTGGTGATGGGGAGACAACGGACCACATCCTTCTCCACTGCCCGATCACTAGAAAGGTTTGGTACTTCTGCCTAAACCTAGTGGGTTACAACTGGGTGTTCCCGGAGAGGGTGGTGAACATCTTGTTGCAATGGCAAGGCAGAAGGCTTGGAAAAAGAGGAAGATTTTACTGGAATACAGTGACCCATGCAGTCTTGTGGGGTATTTGGGAAGAAAGGAACATTAGAACCTTTGAAAATAAAGCTAGAAATATTGAAGATCTAACTTCCTACATCACACATCTCTGCAATCTTTGGGTAATTAACTCTGAAGTGTTCAAGGGGCTCTCCCTAAATGATCTCCAGAGAAACCTACCGGAAATCCTACACTCCTCTCCAATTTCTGAGTGGACTATAAGATAGGCTCCTAGAGAAGGGGGAGGAACGGTTCTAAACTTTGACAGTAGCACCCAAGGTTCCACAAGCCAAGCAGGAATTGTGATAAGAACCCCATTAGACGACTTGCTCTAGGAACTCTTGAATCAAGTTGTTATGCACATTCAGAAGCTAGAAAACAAGTTGTAGTTGATAAGATTAGAACCTTAAGGAAACTAAGTCCCTAAAGAATCCAATCTTGAAGACACCACAAAGGTTGATCACTCCCTTGATGAGTCAAGATATTCTATTCTATCAAGAACACAAGAAGGCAAAGCTAAGCTTGCTGAAAATACCTCTATATTATTGATGATCTCGTTTTACATAATTGTAGCCTTTATATAGGCATGTAAACATCATTATCTTATAAGGAAACACCTAATCTAATGATGATCCCTTTAATTTAGGAAAACAAATCTGCCTTGATAAAGGAATCATTCTAAAAGACTACAACTAATGACAACTAAGCATAGAAAAGTCAAAGTAAAACAAAACAAGACAAAAACAAACCCATCAATACATCTTAGCATGCGGATTGGGCCTTTTCTTATCATGTCCATGCGCCTTGGTCTTATGTCATTGATTCCAAGCTTTGTTGTTCAAGATCTAAGCCTTGTACATTGTCTTGCACATAAAGATAGGTGATTATCCTTGGTGAAGCTTTGGAAACTTCTAGAACAGTCTTAGAATCTTTTAGAATAGCCTCTTTGTCATGCACTTCCATGATTAAGCCTTGTAAAATCTCTTTCATCATCTTTGTTCTTGCCCTAGTCATTGGACCACCGATTCCTTGCAAAGGATCTTGAGAATATTTGGGAATATTAGCTTAAGCCATTTGGCCAGCACCTCGATCTCCATTAAATTGGGGGTGTAATTCAAGGGGAAAGGGGGAATATTTGCTGGGCTTACAATGGTCCGATTGAGAGGGCTGATGCCACAAAGGCTGAGGTTTTGGCAGCACTCACAGGAATTTGCCTCGCCAAGCAACTAGGATTATCCTCCTTAACAATTAAAGGGGATTCTGCAAATGTTATAGCTTGGTTACAGGATAAAGGAGGGCCTTGGAGATTAGCCCACTTTTTAGTGGAAGCCAGGGACATCCTAGACTCTATGAATGTGAAGTTGGTCTAGATTCCTAGGGAGCAAAATTCTATTGCTAATTTCCTAACAAAATCAGGGGTCTCTAGAGATTTCTTGTTTAGTGACAGTTGTTTGCCTTTGTAAGCTGGCCAAGCCTCTCTTGGCTTCAATACATCCTCTCATGTACTTCTGCTTGTTTCTTCTTTAATAAAAAGTTACCTTTGATTCAAAAATAATTACTAACTTTGCCAAATGGCAGTAATTTAATTATTGATTAAAATTAATTACCGATTATAATTACTAACCATTACTGATTATAATTACTAACTATTACTGACTATAAATATCAAACCCGATTTTATTTATAAACCTAGTTTAGATAAATATTATTATCTATTTATTTTAATCCGATTTTAATAAATACTGATTATTACAATAATTTAATAAATATATAATTAGTGATTATAATTAATAATTACTGTTATTATAAATATTGTTAATAAATAGATATTTACTTTAATTTTACTTAAAATTAAAATTATAAATACTATTAATAAATTTAGTAATTATTGTTATATTAAAAATAATTAAAAATGTTATTAAAAATATTGTTATTGATTATTTAATAAAATATTATAATTATTGACTATTATTGATAAATACTATTAATTTAATTTAATTTTGGTAATTATTAATTTAATGAATATTGTTAATACATCCTATTCATAAATTTAATAATTACTATTATATTAAAAATAATTAAATAATATTATTAAAACTATCATTACTAATTATTTAATAAAATATTATAATTACTTACTATTATTGATAAATGCTGTTATTTATTAAATATTAAAATAATGTTTGTCTTTTTGCTTATTGAATTTCTTTGGTTTAAATTTTTGGGTTTTGTGCTTTGAAGGTTGTTATATAATGTTAGTTAAAAATGCTTTTTGCATTTAGCTAAATTAATTGTTTCAATGTTCTAAATATCAACACGGGCCAGTACGCCTTGTGTTGGTGCCTTTTTTTTATGTTTTTACTTATTTTTTTTCGAAATCGGTTCAAAGGGGCCAATTTAAGGCCTAGCTCCCCTTTGAACTAGTGGCTGACCCAATACAACCCATGTAGGGGTGTATTAGGAAGCCATCGGCATGATACATTTCGGCCGATATGGGCCAATATTTGAACCTTGAATTGCTTTGGTTTACATTTATATATTTTGTGCTTTGAAGATTGTTACATATTGTAAGTTAAAAATAGTGCTATTTGATTTTTTTTTGAAATTTAATAACTGTTATACCTAAAATTGTCAAATAATGTAACAATAACAATTGTAAAATAACTATAAAGATTATCAAATATAATTTAAAAGAAATTACCATTATTAGACATAAATTACCAATATTTATACAAAAAATTACTAAAATAAATCAAAAGAAATTATCACAAATTAGTAGACTTTAGGATGATAATTACTTGAAATTATCAAATAATATAATCCTAAATACATTAAAATAATTTGCCAAAAATTATCATAAATTAGTAGAAATGTCCAAAAAAATAGCCACTAAATTCAATAAAATTGATAAATTACTAGAACTTACCAATAAACTATCATATAATAAATATAATACATTAGAATATATTTACCAAAAAATTAGTATATAATAGAAGTTAGTAGAAATTATATAATAGAACTAATTTCCACTAATCGACCAATAAACTATCTTATAAAAAAGTATAAAAAATAAGTATATATTGACCAAGAATTCTCATAAATTAGTATAATATAAATTACCAGAAATTAGTAGAACTTAGCCAAAAATAACCACTAATTTCCATAAAATATTATATTTTCCAAGAATTATCATAATTTATTATATAATAGAAATTACCAGAAATTAGTAGAACTTAGGGAAAATAACCATTAATTTCCATAAAATATGATAAAATAGATGAAATTAGTATAACTTTGTAAAAATAACCATTAAATTCCAAAAATTAGTAGAACTTAGGATGATAATTAATTCAAATTATCTAATAATATGAACCTAAATAAATTACAATAATTTATCAAAAATTGCATTTTGTTTTATTATGCATTGCACGGATCCCCGCTAGTTCATTAATTTATATCAACCAATTCTACTAAGGCAATCAAAAGGTGGGAATGGTTGAAAGGTGGCCCGTTCAATCACGAATTCAGGATGATTTGGATTCCTAGGTGTTGTCAGAAAAACACAAATTAATTAGGTAAAAGCTTCGAAAGACCTTGTCGAATCCTGCTGTCGACGTTTTATTTCCACGTATTTATTTTGGCGCGTAATTTGGAGGATAACCCTTACTTTAGTTGCCGATGGATGGGAGGATGATACCAACTCACAAAATAGAAAAAACATCTTTCGTCTAATCGTCTTTGTATAATTCTTTCCTAGGCCGTAAAACACGTAGGACTCCAGCTCTTAGACCAGTGCGTAGACGCTCACAGCTTTGCTTTATTCAAGTCCCAGCCTAAAGGTTTCAACCATCACATCGTATAGAAGAAAACCTTGAATTCTTGTTCTAGGCGAAAACCCTAGTTTTGTGTTTGCTTCTAGAATCCTAGAAAACCTAGCTTAGTTCCTCAGACATGGCGACGAATGTGCCGAACTTAGACTGCCGGATGTACGAAGCAAAGTACCCAGAAGTTGACATGGCGGTAATGATTCAAGTGAAGAACATTGCCGATATGGGAGCTTATGTTTCTCTTCTTGAGTACAATAACATAGAGGGTATGATTTTGTTCTCGGAACTCTCTCGTCGTCGGATTCGCAGTGTGAGCAGTTTGATAAAGGTAGGACGACAAGAGCCGGCTATGGTTCTTAGGGTTGATAAGGAGAAAGGTTATATTGATCTCAGCAAGAGAAGGGTGTCGGAGGAAGATATTCAGGCATGCGAGGAGAGGTATAACAAGAGTAAACTTGTTCATTCCATCATGCGCCATGTTGCAGAGACGATGCAATTTGATTTAGAGGTACATGGATCCATGCTCTTTTGCCCTTATATCTGCGATATTTGTGTTAGGATAAGGTTTCAAATCCTGAAGTTCCGGCCTGTCGATGGCTATGCTTCTTTCAGATTTGAAAGCTAGTTCAAGTTTTAGAAGCTCTCATTCTGTTAGATTCAAGTAGAAGCTCAATTCGGTCGAATTGATTTAATTAATTCGTAAACAATTCTTTTTAGTGTAACAAGTTTACTTGTTTTTTTTAACCGGTGCTGTAGTGTACTTCGCATAAGGAATCTTAGCTGTTAGATGGTAATTATTGCCAAAATATATATTAGGCACTTTGCCCATTCTTCCCTAATTGATACAGATACAGAGCTATATCTTTCAGATTCGAAGAGTGCTTGGCAGAAACTCTTAACCTTTTCGTCCTTCATATGGACCTCTGTTATAGACACACCACCCGGCAGCGCACTGTGGCGCAGTGATAGGCAGCAGCACGCACAGCGGGCCGCCCGCCGCCAGCTACACCATCCCTTATCTTATCTTGTCCTTATCTTATCTTAAAAGTGTGTTACCATTAGGAATAGGTAATTAGGAGTTTGATTTCAAGTTGGAGTTTGAGTTTAATTAGGAATTTCCTTCTGTAATCTCCTATTTGAGGAGCTACGAATTGAAATAAAGGCATTTAGTTTTCCCAGTCAAGAGAAGAGTAAGGAGAGTTCGGGTGGTCTCTTGGACAAATCACCAATTAGGAGAGTTCGGGTGGTCTCTTGGACAAATCACCCATTAGGAGAGTTCGGGTGGTCTCTTGGACAAATCACCCATTCGGTTTTCCACAATAGGTTCTGCACGCAAGGGCGCACGCAAGGGAAAGCATGGCTTCCTCCCCGTGGACCGACCTGTGACGAGATCCTACGCGCGGGCCCATAACAACCTCTTCGTCTTGCTCTGCATGCCTAAGTACCATTTTTTCATGTCCTTCTAAGCCTGTAGTTAGCTGTCAAATCCAAAATTAGCTGCTATAAGAGTGGTATCTCTCGTTTACCTACCACATCCTAGTTTTTATTTGTTAAACGATCTTCATATCTTTATCAGTTGAACAAGAGCACACAACGAGTGATTATAACTACATGACATGATATGGTTTTCTTGATCAGGCCGTCCAAACTAAGGACCCTACTTCTTTCTCATGTTCATTTGAATCAATGTGACATGAGAACTAGGAAACCTATTTCGTCTGTTTTGTCTCCTGAGAACCTTAGGGACCATTTCTTCATGTGATGGCTTTCTGAAAAGCCTTATAAACTGGATGGTCTATAATGAGAGACTTGGGCTGTTATTGGAGATAAGGTAGGTAACTTTAGGTTATTTTTATTTTGTTTAGACTTTAGAGACTCTTTTAATCCTTACCTCATACATTTCTTGTATAATTCATTTGTAACATAGAAGAGAAAAAAGGGGGTTTTCTTTTTGCCTTGGAGAATTACTTTATTTGAGTTAATTGTATTCTCACTGGTATGAGAGTTAATTTTTGCAAAAGCAGTATTGTGGCTATCAACTCAGTGGAAGTGGATCTTCTAGAAAATTTCAAAGCGTTATTGGGGTGCAAAGTGGAGAATCTCCCCATTACCTACCTTGGGATGCCTCTTGGTGGGAATCCAAAATCCCTCAACTTTCGGAGTCCTGTGTTGGAGAAATGCGAGAAGAAACTAGTGACTTGGAAAAAGTGTTATCTCTCCAAAGGGGGTAGGCTTACTCTCTTAAAGGCCTCCTTATCAAATCTTCCGGTCTACTTTCTCTCTGTCTTCCAGATTCCGACCAAAGTCAGAAATCATATTGAGAAGCTTCAAAGGAATTTTTTTGGGAAGGTGGTGGAGATAGGAGAAACCATTTAGTCAGCTAGAAACAAGTATGCAGACCAAAAGAGGAAGGCGGTTTGGGTATTGGACAACTTAAAGAGAAAAATTCCTCTCTTCTAGGCAAATGGCTCTAGAGATTTCTGAAAGAACCTAATGCTTTTTGGATTGCTGTCATCTCAAGTAAATATGGACAAAATACAAACGGGTGGGGTAGCAATCTCCATTTGAACAGGATAAAGGCCATTAATCCTTGGAAAGGTATATGTTCCATTCATGCTTCTTTCTTTCTTTTTATAAGGTATAAAGTGGGAAATGGTTCTAAAATTAAATTTTGGAAAGATCTTTGGTGGGGGGAATCTACCTTGGATGCCTCTTTCCCTAGGCTGTTTAACCTCACCCTTGTCCAAGAAGCCTCTATTTCTGATTGCCTCCCAAACCAGTCTGCCGAGAATTCTTTAAACCTCCACCTCAGAAGACCCCTAAGGGACTCGGAGATTTCTGATTTAATAGCTTTAATCCAAACCCTCAAAGATGCCTATATATCCCCCTCTCATTCTGACAGC